ATTTCACCGGTATGAGCCATCAAACTTAAAAATCGATCCAGCCGTTAAAGCCGCGATCGATCCAGCTTAAAACAGTGTTACACAGCCTTTTGCCAATTGATTAAACATATTTTATTTAATACCGGGCCAATATTTGTAGCTCATTTTTTTTTTGAACACCCAGGGATTTCAGAAAATAATTTGAGTCACCAAACTTAAAAATAGATCCAGCCGTTCACTTCAAAAAGGGTTAAATAGCTTTTAGTGGACGATCTAAAAACATAAACCTCGGTTCGCTTCGCTTAGTTGAGTAAAAAGTAAACAAAATCTTTCTTAGTGTGTATAACCTCAAATAAAAAGACAATGTTCTTCACAGTCGGAATAGTTTGCCGTGGAAAATTTGATAAGAATATGACGTGAAAATTGAGAGGTGATTGAATCATAAAATCCTAGTATATGTTAATTTTATATATATATACACATGTAGCTTATCGGTATGACATGTTGTAATGTATATAATAAAAAAAAAATAAAATAAATACAATATATATATATATATATATATATATTGCTGCTACATGCATATATATTATAATAATGCATGCATATTATAATATATATATATATATATATATATATATATATATATATATATATATATATATATATATATATATATATATTATAATCTTTGAATATAAATGGGAGTGTAAATAAAAGTAACATTTATTTATCAATAAAACAGATATGTACCAACTACTAGGCGCTACCCTACCCAGCCTAGTCGACTTTACCGATTTTGTTCAGAGTAACTGATTTACATTGAACTAGTTGGTACTCACTGGACGCAAAATTTGATGCTCAACAACTTTGATTCTATGGGTTTTCCTCTTAATTAACTCATTTTCATGTTGTAGGCCATTTATAGCCATTTTTCTCAATTTTTGACGAATTGGTGAAAATCAGCGTTGACGGTAGATTTATACCATAGCATGTCACTAAATTATAAAGTGTATGTACTCATTTGACGCACAATTTAACGTTCTTTAATTTATTAAAGATTACATTTTTGATGCATCCTATAAGAGTTATAGGTGAAAAACAAAAAAAATATCGAAAAAATCAATTTCTTTTTTTATGTGCCTAAACCCATATATACAAGTTAAAAAAATAAATACTTTTCCGACATTTTTGTGGGTCACTCAACCAAGTACTTACCACACGCGATGTTGACCAAAATTTGAAGATTATTTTTTGAAAGAACATAAAAATTGAGACAAAATTTTAAAAAAAGTTGTAGTAGTGGGATACCGGGAGGTAGTGTTGTCCAAATTCGAGACCGAGACGTGTCTTGGTCTTGCAAACTCAGTCTTGGTCTTGCGCAAGAGTCTTGCAGCTACTTATTAGCTCATTACTATAGAGATATTACTGTAATTTTTTAGATAAGAGAAACTTAACTAAGCCCAAATGAAAAATTAGAGGAGTTAAATGCAAAAGTATATTAGTTATACCAATTATTAACATATAGTAAATAAGACTGTCAAGTATTAGTAACTATTTTGCCTTAATTTTTATTTTAAAAAAACGATTATTTTTATCAGTCCTGGTCTTGGTCTTGCAACAGTTAGGCGGCCTTGGTCTTGGTCTTGCAAAGTGCAAAACCAAGACCGATTTTGGACAACACTACCGGGAGGGGTATTTCATAGACTATATAAGCGAAATATTTGTATTTCGAAGAATTTTTCTAAATCATTTTTTTAAATGCAATCGTAACCAACTGGTTGAACCTAAATTAATCCAGTATAAAATAAAGATAATTAACTGAATTATCAAAAGCAATATTAAGCAATAACGCACACAGTCATTGAATTTGACTAGAAATAAAGTAATGCTGGAAATATTTTTCAATTGGTGGGACTGAAGGCCTGCTTTCCCAAACCTCCCTTTTCCGTACTCTACTATGAGAGTTGAAATTAACTCTGAAATTGCACAGGGCCACTTTTTAGATCACTAACTATTTATAAAAAGAATGATATATTACATTTCTCATATCTTGAAAGTTGTTTTTGTCCTCCTAGATCGGTTATCGGTCCCACTGTGCTACCAATGCCCAGTAGTGGAATGTATTTAAATTATTAATTATTTATTAACGTAAGTAACACATTACTAAATCAGTAATAAATAAACCTGTTAAAAATATATTATAATGGAAAATCTCTAAATATGTCCAACTTTCTGCCATCATCGCTGCTGCCTGCTCCTTAGAACGTTGCTGTTATCTTCTGTTTTAAGTTCAATGCAGAGGCCACTAATTTTAATCCTATGTTATCCAATTAAAATAAAAAATATTATGTAACTGATTTATACGGAATATCATGGAATCAAACTGAATATACAGGGTGTTTCTCGGTCAAGTGGCCAAACTGCAAAAATGAACTGAGGACCTCAAAACAAGAAAAAAATTCCTCTTTGAACGCTTTGTTTAGGAGATGTTCACATCTAAAGATTTTCGTTGTTATGAATTACTTACGTTATATGAAATGAATAAAACCTAATTTTTTGTTCTAACTACTTTATTAATTAAATTTAAACATTGAATGTTGTTAAAAGTGATTTCCTTGAGCATTAAGACAGGCTCGGCTTCTTTCTTCAACAGCAACAGTGGCAGAACGGCACTGGATATGTGTTATTGTTTCACAAGATACAATCATCCTTCGTAAGGAATTAAGGTCATTGGCCGGCTTAATGATATCCCATATCCCAATCAATGGATTGGCCTTGCAGGACCAGTGGCTTGGACTGCACGCTCTCCAGACCTGACACCACTCTATTTTTTTGTTTTGGATGAAATTAAACAAAAAATCTATGCAAGTCCGGTTAATGGCCTTAATTCCTTACGAGGAAGGATAGTCAATCTTGTGAATCTGCCACTGCTTCTGTTGAAGAAAGAATCCGAGCCTGTCCTAATGCTTAAGGAAATCACTTTGAACAACATTTAATATGAATGTTAATGTTTCCATTTAAATAATAAAGTAGTTAGAACAAACAAATAGGTTTTATTTATTTCATATAACCTAAATTCATAAAAACGAAAATTTTTAGGTATGAATATCTCCTAAACAAAGCGTTTGTGGACATACCTTCAGGGGAAATTTTTTTCTTCTTTTGAGGTCCTTAGTTCATTTTTGCAGTTTGATCACTTAACCCTGCTAATCTATTCAAGCTAAAGCTTAAAGCTTACAGATAAGCCATTAAGACCATTATAATTACAAAATGTCTATTGAATATATCGACGGCAGGCAATAAAAATCTAGTCACTCCATCCGCTTTTATAAACCGCACAACTTTCTTTGCTTTTATAAACCACAGAATGACTAACTCCAATTTCAACATTTTTGAGTAATGTCATTTTAGTGATATTTTCAGTTGAAAAAGTTATCTATGTGGACAGTGAGTAAGTTGATTCCGGAGGTGGTGATTGCAGTGTTGAAATATAGAACTGAGAATATAGGTATAAATTTAGGTACTTATTTATAATGAAAGATGTTCTTAGGAAAGATACTTAAATATCTATAGAAAAAAGGTTTTTTTAGCCTCAATAATTGAAAAAGTATATTTTAAACTTACTCAAATTTTCTCCTCTTCAGGGAAAAAACAAGAGACCATATCTTTCCTCTTAATAGTACGATTTTAACGGTTTTTTGTTTGTTTTATTTTTCGATAAAAATATTTAAAAATCACGATATCTCTACTAATAGTGCTTCGATTTCGATGAAACTTTTTTCATTTTTTAGGAAATTTAAATATCTTTGAAACATCTTATCACAATATTCACAAAAAAGTTTTTGAGAAAATTGTAAAAATGTGTTTCATCGTTCATAGTGGCAATTCCGGTTAGCCGATTTTAACGAAAAAGTTGCTGTCACATCCGGCCCATAAACAAACCTTAAATACTTAATATCAGTTTCGTACAACTTTTCGTTGATGAGCTAGACTGTTAACACACACACACACACACACACAGACCATTTTGCGACACTTAGTTATTTGGACTCAGAGGACCTCAAAACATGTATTTCCGTTGAAAACTGAATTTTCACGATCGCAATACTTACCATTACTATATATTACATATATACGTAAGTGAAAGTAAACATATATATATATTTCGATCTTCCCAGATGTTACGGTAAAGTTACAGGTACTGCAAAAAAAAAATACTTATAATTCAACTAAAACATTTTATGAATTCAGTTCCACCCACTTAAAGGAGGTTTATTTTTATGTATTAAACCCATATTTTTGGGAAAAAATCTTAGCTTAAAGGGGTGAAATTTATTTATGGTTCACTCTTCCAATCGAATCAGTGTACTTTATGGTTAATACAGGCTCTTAATTTTGGATGTTTGCCTTCAATTTTAGTTATATTGTTTATATTTTTTTCGAATAGTTATGCTCCTTACTTTGTTACAAATAAAATCATCCATAATGACCTTAATGTTCCTTATGTATCAGATTTGGCCCAATCCAGATATTTGTCCTTTCATAACCATCCCAACCCTCTTGTTTCTAACCTTGCTTCCTATTCAATTCCTGATAAGCCTCCGAGGCGTCTGAAAAGAAGACGGCCACGTGATCTCCTTATATAAAAATATTCATTATCAATATATCGACTTTGGCCCCGCTTGATTGAATAGGATAGCCCACTTTGCGATGTCTGTTAGAAGCCCATATCGCAAGAGAGTGAGAGAGGGAAATGTGTTAATTTTTTTTTTTATATTGTATTATATCAAGAGTTATAATAATATATACTCTAATGTAATTCACTACATGTTTACTGAAGAAGAGAGTTTTTTTTTTTTTTTCAAATTTTCTGTTCTTCTACTTTCTTCTTGTAACAGGTAACGTTCTGCGGGATGTCAGAGTATGGGAAAGTAGCACTCGGAATGAGAATGTGGACCCAACGAGAGGAAAATCTTAAGCTGGAGTGGGGATGGAGTCTTCTGTGCTCAGTACCGTCCAGAACCTGGAGGAAGAACGTGTGTGTTTGGGTCCACCCTGAGAACTTCTTATCGCTACGCAACTTAGGTAGGAACAACTAATTTATTCTTTACCGCTCTTAATTATTCCGTTTTTTTGTCCATTTATATATTTTAATTATTCATTTATTTATTTTATATTTTTTAATTGATCAAATAGTATTTTAAAAATAGTGAAAATAAGCTTTGACTACACGCATTTAAAATTATAAACACTTTAAAAATACAAATTAAAATATATATATATATATATATATATATATATAAAAATAAAATAGATGATTGAAAATTTATTAAAATATTTTTATCAAGAGAACTGTGTACATATAAACAAAATTCAAATGACATTACTCTAATTTGAGAGCTGTTTTTTTTTTTGTTTTTTTTTAAATTCCTATCGGGACTAGGCATTATTATTTTAGACATTATTTATATATTTTTATTATTCTTTGATATACTTTTAATCGATCATATATTCGTGTAAAAACACTGAAAATAATTTTTCATTACAGATATTACACACACACACACACACACACAAGTGTAAATATTTTCTAAAATACAAAATAAAAAAAAAAAACTTAATATAAAATAAATAATTGAAAATTATTAAAATAATTTTAATATGAGAAGTGAACGCATATAAACAAGATTCAAATGACTTTAATCAAATTTGAGAAAAAAATTTATAAAATAGTAATTTTACTTTAATTTGTTTGTTTTAATTTCAAAGTTTTCAAATGTTGTCATTTGAATCTTGTTTATGTGCGTACAGTTCTCATATTAAAAATATTTTAATAATTTTCAATTATTTATTTTATATTTTTTACTGTGTTTTTTTTAAATTTGTATTTTAGAAAATAATGATATGTCATACCCATTTAAGATACCCTTGAAAAATAATACTGTGGTTACTAAAGATATTTTTACATATTTAACTACTAACCACAGTACTATTTTTCAAGGGTATCTTGAATGGGTATGACATATCATTTACTGTTCTGTTTTTTTAATTGAATGAATGGTAGACTTTAAGCAATGAAGGGGAAAAGACTGCTTGGTACATTAATTATTTGCTAAGCATTTTACTAAAGCAAAAAAAAAAAAAAAAAAAAAAAATATGACGTTAATTGTGTTTTATAGTTGTACTTCCAGAAAAGAACTACATTAGTAAGTTATAATTAAATTAATAAAAGGGAATGTGAAGGTTTTTAGATTACTTGATAATGAACCAATGGGACTCGAAACATTAATTTAATGGTATTTGAATAAATAGATGAAGTGACAAGGGCGACTATTTTCTTTAAAAAACACGATATGAGATATAATAGATGTGTAATATTTATTTTATCAAGTACACAATTTCTGATATTGAAATAGATGATAGAAAAAACAATACTAAAACTTCAATTTTTGTATTATTCACCAACATATAATTTTTTTATACTTAGTAATAAAAAAAACAATAAACGATTTAAGTTCGAATTTTAAATAAGTTGATTCCTAAATAAGTCTGAACAGTATTGTGGGAAGGAGTTGCTCAAGGTTGCAGTCAAATTAAATACTATATATTATAATAGTATTGTATTAGTTACGCCGACGTTTCGATCAATTTTTAGGTCTTCATCACGGCTACAAAGGATACAAAATATAAATTGGAACAAAGTTTTTTTTTATTTATTTATTGAATATTACAACATTCTAGCACTTGGAAAGTGGTTATAGCGAGGTAAGATCAGGTACAAAAAAAAAAAATAATAAATAAACAGAAGCAAAACTACAACTAAATAATAATCAAAAAGTATATATAATAAATAAAATAAAATAACTTAAAAATAAGGGAAATAAAAAACATATACATACCTATATATTGGGTTGGAAAATAAGTCCCTTCGTTTTTTCAGGATGAAATAAAACTCAATGTTCTATAGACATAAAATTGATTTTAATCTGCAATATATTGACCATTATGTATTATGATTTATTGCCATCTTTCCACTAACTCCATAATGCCATGTTCATAGAATGTCTAAAGTTTATTGTTAAAAAACTGATCCAAGTGGTTTTTGATGTCCTCTTCCTTTTGAAATATCTTGCCAACATGGAGTTCTGCAGAGCCCGGAATAAGTGGTAGTCATTTGGAGCAAGGTCTGGCGAATAGGGAGAGTGAGGCAAAAGGTCCCATCCAAGTCTCAATAATTTATTACGATTGACCAATGAGGTGTGGGAACTAGCTTTGTCTTGGTGGAACACAACACCCTTCCGATCATTCATAACTCTCCAGGGTGTTCTCCAAATTCGATGTTACTATATCCCTTGGAAATCTGAATTATTGCTCTTCAAAGCCGTATAAATGATTTTTTCATTTAATGCCTACATAAGGAATAAAGAAACAAAAACTTCTTATAGGTTTTTATTTTTTATATCAATTTATAGTTTGTTTAGCAAGATCCCGTTGATGTAATTTTGTGTAGTTTATATGGCCCTAAATTCCTGCTAAATTTCTTGTAGATAGCTAAAGTCGTATTGAAGCTATAACATTTTTTGTGATTTTCGAAAAAAAAAATCATGCGAGCTTATGCAAATGGTTTTACACGCTTTTGTGCGACGGATTTTGATCAACAATGGCCTTAACATTGCACGTTTCAATTTCATGTGGGCAACCAGACCGTTGAGCATCATTGATGTCAAAATTTCCTAAATGAAATTTGGCCAACCAATTTTGACAGGTGAGTTCGGTTAGTAATCATCACTGCAATACTTTTACTGCAATTTTTTCTATGAGCTTCTGCGGCACGCTTACCTTTTTTAAAATAATACAACAAAATATGCCGATAATGAATGATATTTTCTTCCATATTCACAGTTGAATAGCGACCATAATACTAAGCAAGTTTCAACAAGAGTTAACATATATAGTTGACATATTACAAACAGGATAAATAATCCACCTTAGGGATTAATTCATCAGATAAGAAGTGTATCATAGTGGCAAAAAATTAACAAAAAAACCGAAAGGACTTATTTGCCAATCCAATACATTATTTACAATCAGGGGAGGGAACTCCGATACTTGTCCCTCCAACTAAAGAGAGAAAAGCAGGATGGTACAAAGTAAAAAATAAAATAAATGAATTATTAATAGATACTAAACAAATGCCAATCGTCTGATAAAGAAATTAAAGAACTGATAAGATGACATCAGTGATTTAGTTCTTTAATTTCTTCTTATTCTTTCTTTATCAGACATTGTATTTGTTTAATATCTACTAATAACTCATTTATTTTATTTTCTGCTTTGTGCCAATTTATATTTTGTATTTTTGTAGCCATGAAGACGAAGAAGTGGATAGAAACGTCCGCTTAACCAATACAATACTATTATAATATATAGTATTGAATTTTATCGCACCCCTCCACCAACTCCTCATATTATAATCACGGTCAACCTTCTTCATAACATTATTGGTTTTGGTACGACAAAACTCTTTTCGTTGTTTAAACTAAAGAAATTCTTATTTAGCTTGTTCTATTTGGCAAAAAATAATCATGAAAATTCTTGCTAGTTTTTACTATCGATAAATATTTACGTTTATAGGTAGGAAAACGTAAACTTTTATGGAATGACTGAATCATAAAATGAATGTATCTTGTACCAGAATGAATTATGGATTACTTTGGTCACCTTGGGACCAGAACTGGAATTATCTTATCTTAAATAAAAAAATAACAACACATTTTTGAAATTTCAGTCATTTTCTGGATTGGATAAATGCTATTTCATATCTAGGAAACCCTCCGAGGCGTCTGAAAAGAAGATGGCATCGAGATCTCCTTTTGTAAATACGTTTTTAGAGTGCTACCAGTGGGTAGTTTCTCATCAAGTGAATTCATGTTATTATATTCTTTTGTTCACATTTGCTGAATGTATTTTTATTTGTAATACAGTTGTAAATATCATCAATAAATAAAAAAAAATAAAAAATATCTAGGAAGCGTACGAAAGCGGTACGAGGCATTCCTTAAAAAAAAAAATCTTTTGTAAACATATTCGCGATTGTTTTTCATTTGGGTCGGAAGTGTAATCAATGAATTCGAATAACGAACCACCAGTACCCCCTTCTGGACATGGTTTCATGGCGTAAGTTGCGGCATATACATTTTTGAGGGAGGCTATTTCGACGGGGTTTTGAATTTTTGAGGGGCACACATTTGGAAGGGGTTATGAATTTTCAGAATGAAAAGTTTTAAAAAACAAGAGATAAAACGAAAGCATTAAACAGACCACAGTAAGATTAATTATATATAATCTCCGCTTTTTCTAATTCCACTTTCGCTTGATTATTTTATATCATATAATCGTTTAAATAATAATAATAATAATTTTTGATCACACACACAAGTGTGAATATTAATAAAATACAAATTAAAATAAAATATGTTTATACAGAGATTATTATTATATAATACATAAAATATGATTTATGTAATAATAATGACAAAGAGCAACTGATGTTTAGAAAAATAAAATAAATATAAATATTGTATTTATTTATTTATATAAAACAAAATGGTTTCAATAATACTTTTTTAACTTCATATTCCTCGATGAATTTTGTCATAATTAATACAATGAAATGAATTATTACATGGCCATTTCATTGTTAGAAAAGTCCCTTTTTTTATATTTCAGGATATTATTATAGTTAGACCTGAAGTTAATGTTTTATTATATCAATATTCATATAGATTTATAAATATCCACTAAAAAGTCCATTTAATCATATCAGTCTTTCATATTTCATTTAATGAATCAAGTTCTTCAACTATTTTGAATTCGGAGGTCACCAAGATATTTTTATAATATAGGTCAGTTAGTTTTTTATACAGATAATAATTCCTTTGATAGAATCTTATTATGTTGTTTAAAAATCGTTAATTGTGGATCTTGAAACATTTGTGTAACTTTTTAAAAAGTTCCATTTTAACAGCTTCTTGAAAAAACTTTTAAAAGTCCTAAAGAACATTTTGTAATAAATTTCAAAGTTC